CCCCAAAACCCCAAAACCCCAAAACCCCAAAACCCCTAATATCATAAATCCCTTTGAAAATAATAAATTTATTTACCAAAACCGGATATGGCTTCTTTTGACAAAGAAATGCTAGCCTATAGTTTGATAAACTCAGAGCTCTACAAGTTCTTGAACACTATTAGCATTGGCTACCAATCCAAGAAAATGGTAAAACCTCTCTCTAGTTTTCCTTTTTTCAAAGAAATAATTTGCCGGTTCGAATAATTGGATTTAGGCGGAAATTCTAAAGGATAAGAAGATCAAGAGCAAACTATCCCAAGCATTGTCCTACTATACCAAGTTTACAAAGAATGGACCTAACAAGAAGAAGATTGTAAGCTCTTTCAAAATTTAAGCTAGAATCTTATTGATTGTGCCAATTCGCTCATGAACTGTTTATAGGAAACTGGACAACTCAAATGGGAAGGCGACAAGCCAATAGGACCTACACTCAAGGAATTCATATTCTCCCTATCTGAAGAATGGGTAATTAAGAAGTAAAAACATATAGAATCTTGATGAAGAGATCACCTTCGAAGTTCTTAATGGGTTCTTCTTCAAAGAAAAATCTATTCTCAAGAAAATTGATGAGTGAGAAAAAGCAATCAAAGAAATTAAGGAAAAAGTTCCGGGAAGAGTTGCATCCTATCAAGCCCAATTAGAAGATTTCCTGATAAAGACTAAAGAGAAGCTTAATGAGTTCTACAACAAGGAAAGAAAATCCTTACTGAAAATTTTGATTTTTATATTCGTATTCACAAGTATCCAAGATCCTGGATCTAGGCATCCAGCTTCAGACATCCTGAATCATTTGAAGGAGACTAATACTCTTAAAACTCTTGTAGGATGCTTGAACACTAATGCAATCTCCCAGACAGATCAGAGAAGAGACAATACTCAAAAGCTTGAAAATTTATACCAGAGATTGGAAGAGGAAGAGTTTCTCCTCCAAAGTATCTTCTGCTTTATTCTCAGTGATGAAGAAAAAGACTTGGATGATGAAAAGTTTGCCTTGTTCAATTATTTTACTGATTCATATTTCCAAGGATATGCCTTTCACAAAGATCAAGACATTGTTGTTACTGAGGAGTATTCTAAAATATACCAGAAGGAGCATCACATTAGAGATCTAATTGCTTTTATGTCTCTGATTTGATTATCAGTGAACACGAAAGACCTAAAAATTTCAGCTTCTCTTGGAAAAACAGTTGATGCAGCTCTTGCTCTTCATAATGGAACAATTGATACTCTTTTGAGCCAGACTGCATACATTGTTGCTATGTCTGCATGCAAGAATGAGAATAAAGATATTAACTCAGTTTCTTCCTTTAATAGAGCCAAGGTTAACTCAGTATTTACAGAAAAGGATGATAAACTCGCTATTGATACTATAATGGGACTTCTAGATAGTCCAATTCTCGAGGATGAAAGATATGACTTCATCAAAGGCTCATTAGTCAACCTCATCAAAAAGTGGATAGACAAGGCTTACTACATTGACATCATCAATGAATTTGGAGATCCTGAAGATATTAGAATCATCTGATTTAAATTAATCAAAGAGCCTTTCATTCTTAAAGAATTCTGGGAGAGTGATTATAAGTTCAATACACCTTTCTTCCAACTGATTAGAGAAGGTTATCTGCTAGGGTTCCCTGAAAACTTGCTAAAATTCTGTAAGATCAGCCTTTACCTAACTGGGAACAAAGAAGCCGACTTCAGTCAATACATCATTGATTTCTTCAGAAATTTTGACTCCTTTGTCACTTCGCTTGACGCAAACTACAGGAAATCACTTGAAGGAGATTCTTCATATATGAGAAAGAGCACTTTTGCAGGTAAGCATTCAGTTTTATCATATAGGAGAAGGAGAGTTTGACTTTGAAATTACCAAGAGCTTTGAAATCTCCAGCGGAGATGATATTGAGATCTATGTTCCTGAAGGAACCAAAGCGAGAGTATTCCCACTCAGAAGAGAGTTTTATGAGCTCAAGATTAAATATGACCTCTGGCCAGCTCTCTTTTCAAGATGGAAACAATCAATTCTAAGATCAGGAGATAGAGATAATTCGGAAGGTGCTCTAAGATACTATAAAGATGAAATTGAATCAATCAGCTCCTTTGTCAGTCAGATATTGTTGATTAATCCAGCTCATTGTGAAATACTTAAAATTGAGCATGATGTAGTTTCTTTTGAAAGAAATATTAAGACTATTGTGAACTTATTGTTGAGAAGTCTAAACCAAATCAAGGTACTTGAGCAGATTCTAAAAGACGATAGGCAAAGTGAGATTGAAGAGACCTTGCGCTCTCTTTCTTTAATAATATCTGCAATTGGGAGTCTGTACTCGATTCCATCAGCAAGGAGTTGAATTTCTGAGTGTCTCAACAAATTTGAAAAAGATCTTATCGATACAGAAAAGCCATATGGAAATACATACACTGTCTACAATCATTCTCATCACAATAGATTGATTCATCTTTTCAAAGAACTTAATGAGCTTGAATGGAATTACTCAAGAGGAAATTATCATGTGACTAAAGCTATATGAGGACTTGGTCCAGCTATAATGTCAGATCCATACCCATCCAGCAATCTTATTCAGATCCTTGAAGTTATCAAGGAGATAAAATATAGAATGAATAGGGCTAACCTTGAAATTTATCTAAACCTCCTTGAAACTTATAAGCTTGCTCTCCAAAAATTCCAAACTTGCCCAACTAAAGCAAATCTTAACTTGAAGAACGTGCAAAAGGATAAATTCTTCCATACAATCAGAAGTTTCCTTGACGACTGTGACATCCAGAAAATACTGGAAGAAGTTTTGGAGATTGATACTAACAACGTTAATATTCTTAGTGAAGGATACCCTTTTAAGAGCTCTGAAAGATTCTTGTACATCAACAAGATCTTGAAGAAATATCAGGATGAATGAACCGCCGAGGATAAGCTGATTATTAAATCACTAGTCCTCTCTGCTTTGGAGTGCTTAAATATAATCTTAGAAATGATTCACACAGTCACAATTGTAAAGAAAGACAAGAATATCTCAAAGATGTCAAAAGGAATTCATCAGTACCATATGATCAACTTGAGAATTGTTAATTATATCAAAGAGGCTTTGTTGGCGAACTCTTCATTCATGACAGATTTAGAAGAAAATAAGATCTTACTTACAGTAGCTCATTATATCAACTTTGAAAGTAGACACTCTCTACCAACTGATGAGAGAAAGGTTATTCACTACTCATGTGGATCTTTACTAAATGCATCATCTGCCGCACTTCGTTGTTTGACCCAAATAGTCAGAATTTGGGAATTATCGCCTGTATCTAGACAGATCTCCTTAGCCCCTTACCTGAGTTATGAAGATAATGGATTTAAACACTCATCTACAATGATTGCTAAATCTCTTTCTAATCCAGAGGAAGCTCATGAATTATTGAACTTCTTAATTTGCTGTTTAAATTCGCAGACTGCCTTCATCAATGGATTCTTTAAGAATGAAGATTTTTTCCAGAGCATTATAAACACATTTTGAAAGCACCCAGACAGAATCCTTCAAACCTGTGCAGGACCATTAAACACGAAAGCTTATGACTCTCTTGAATACAAAATTAAGAGACTATCTAAAAGAGTTGTAGGAATGCTTATGATATTAGTCTCCGAGCTCATCCAGAATAACAAGGTTAAGAGAAACAAGAAAGCAAAAGAGGCTACAAACATGTTCCTTGATTCTTATCTATTCAATGGAGTCGACTTGATTGAAGAGTTGTTCATTAGTAGGGAGCATACCTCTCATGAAGAATTTGATATGTCAATCAAGACCAGTACTTTTAGAAGAGAAGGTAATACAATTGAGTATCAAAGAAGAGAAGAACTTCTAGAACAAAAAGTTCAAGATATTTGCTTCTCAAACCATGTAGTCTCTTCTTACTTGCTCATCATCTCAAATCTTCTGATTTCACTTGATAAAGATAATGAAAATAAGAATAAAGCTCTAAAATTATTGGCAATTCTCTACAGAGGAAAAATTATCGATCTCCTTGAAAAACTAATGAACGATAGACTCACTTCAACTGGAGAAGTGTCCAAAGAGTTCTTTGAAGAATTAGAGAGACTTGAAGATCTAAACTCACTTGATTTTGATCAAAATGAAGGAGATGGTAAAAAGACATACTTCCCCATAGCAGATAAGTCAGATCTCCTGATTAATATCAGCCAGCTACAGTACATTAATTCCAATAGTGATTCTCAGAATTATCTGACAACTTGGAAACCAGAGAAGCAAAGAGTGTTCAGGAAGAATCTTAATGCCTATGGAAGATCTTTTGTTCTCGATAGAAACGAGATGTTTTACATGATGAAAAGCAGCTATTACGCTTCATCTTATATTAACTCCTTTATTTCCATTCTAGGAAAATTCAATCTGGAGATGAGTTTGATTGACAGTGAAAGATATTTGATTAGCAACATCCATGACCAATTTGCATTTATCTCAAGCCTTGGGCACGATGGATTCCTCGGATCAAGTCATGATAAGATTCCAACAAGCATCAAGCAGGCAAGTAAAGAGCTAAATTATGGATTCTCTTTCTTCACTCTTGTTGGAGGAAGAGGAACAAAAATTAGAAAGAAAGAATTCTCTGAATTCAAGAATAAGCTGATTGACAAGGTAGGATCTCTTGCTGCACTTTTGTGGAACTCCATCAAGCATGACGTGGCAGAGTACAACCAGGCTTATATTGACGTCAATGGAGTAGTTGGAAAACTGTTTGGCCAAAAGCTCTGCTTCTTCAAGACTATTTTCCATAATATGATATATCTTGGAGGACTTGAACATTCAGAAATCGAGACTTTTGAGGGAGGTTCTCATAGTAGAGATTACTCTAATGAAAAACCCAAAAGAGATTCAGATGTAGATGAAGAAATGACTAAGCATAGAATTGTCAATATCTCAGCTGATATTATCACTAAGCTCGAAGAACTACTTTATTATAGAACTAGATTTAGATCTGATCTCCCAACTGAAGAACTCTTACTTGAAAATATGCTAGAATTTGTTCCAATCTTTATGAATAATGTAATCGAAAACCAAATCCTCACTGAATCCCAAGAAAGATTAGACACATGAATTATAGAGGTTGCCAAGAATCTCAGATATATTCTTGATTACAAAGATGACAAATACTATGACTCAGTAGTATTGATCTATGAGCAGCTACTTAAAGTACTTGATGATAAATTCGAGATTAAAGGGCTATATAGAATGAAGGAAAGTATAGTAATCAAGAAAATGATGGCCAAGATCACTCAAAGTAATTGCACAGAAAGCCAATTCTTATCTACCCTCAAATTCATGATTGCATATTCTTCGACCTCTGAAGGTGCACTGCATTTATTTGAAGAAAGAGTGATTCCCGCTTTAATTGCTTCTCATTGTCTGAAGAATTTAGATGACCACGAATACTATGAAATCAAGGAGAGAAACACTAAGCATATTCTTTGGCTATGGACTCTTCACTTGATGAGACAGCTCACAATGATGCTTATCCAAAATAGCGAATTTACCTACACTCTGATTAACTTCATTGTTTCCTTTGAGAAAAGAATAATGAGTTCACTACAATTCAAGGGATATATAGATGGAAAGAAGCAGTTCAAATCATTCTCGATTGCTAGGTTAGAAGAAATAGAGCATATTGTCAATCTTATGGCTTTCTGTCTCCAGAGCTATGACCAATGGAAAGATCAAAATAGTGATCAGGTTGATTGGTTAGTCAATATTTTATTCAGTTATACTGTAAATCTATTCCAATCTAATGTTGCTCTTAATGACTGTTTCCATCCGATATCTCAATTCGAGAAGTATATCAACAGCTTATCAGAGCAAGGTGAAATCGGGGTTGGATCTAGAGAATTAGGTGATACAGATCTTATCAATCAGTCATCAGCTGGAAGCTTCTCATCTATTTCCCAGACTGATAGAAATTTCATGAGAAACAAAGTAGTTACATCCTTAAGAACCCCAATGAAGGGAGAGACCTCAGAAAAGAGCTTTAAAATGCTTGAGAATGATCAATATGCTAAGAGAGCATATAAGAGCTCAAGCTTAGTGAACTATATGGCTGATAAATACCGTCCAAATGCTTTTATTCTAAAGGTTGAAGTAACTCTCTCAAAAATTGCTCTTATGATGCTAAGATGTATGCACTTGATATTGAAGGAAGAGATCAAGATCGGCTCAAGATCTGACTTTATCAAGCAACTATCTTTCTACCACGAAGTGAACAATGAGACAAGAATCTTTTTGATTTGTTCTAACATCTTTGATGTTATCCAATTCTCTTTACATTGTCAAGGAAAATGGGCAAACAATTTTGAAGGTGTCAAGAAGCTCAACAAGGTGCTGAATGGAGCTTATCTCTCTAGTGAGAATACTATGGATACTATTATTGACATGGAAGACGTCTTACAAATAAGCCAATCTACTACAGAGCTTGGATTGATGCTTTCAATGATGCTGCTCAAAGCAAGCCAGCTTTCAAAAGAAGAATCACTAGATAAGAATTACTTGGAAATTGCAGATCAAAGACTTGTGAACAAGATAAACTCTTTTACTGAAGAATGGAGAAGACTGAAAGCAGAAAATGAAGAAGTCAGCCCAAAAAAGATGAGATAAATAAGATTATAAAGTTGATATAATTTTGAGTCAATACTTAGTATCTATTCCGGGGTTTTGGGGTTTTGGGGTTTTGGGGTTTTGGGGTTTTGGGG